CTGATTGTAATTCTCCATTCTCTCGCCCACTCCGCGCACCCCGCGGCTGCACCCGCAAGCCGCACGGCGCCGCGCATCCACAGCGCGCCCGGCCGCCCCGCGCCCGGCCATCCGCAGGCCTGGGCCCACACTGCGCACCCCGAAGGAGCGAGCGCCCCGGACAGCCCGCCGGTCATCCGGCGGAGGAGGCCCATCCGGGCCGATTGGGCGCCGCGGCGGGAGCCTCGCCCGCAACAAACCGAAAACCACGCCATTGTGCCCCTTTGGGGCGCTTTCTCCGGGTTGCGCGAGATGAGGTTTCCCGATATCTAGAGGAGTCTGTTGAGTCGAGATAGGCTTGAGGGATGGAGTGAGGGATAGGGGCTTTGCCCCATGATATATTTTCCTTGAGTTACCCAGGTTCTTTGTCCGCTGGCTGTTGGTTCACCTGACTTTCATTCCCTGTGGGGGTTCTTTCTTTTGGGTATGGGGGGGTTCCAATTGAGACAAACATTTTCTGATTTGCCCGTCATGTTTCCTGAACACTATAGAGAGGCGCCGTGACCTTAGTTGTTGGAGCGTCAAATTTAAGGAAGCTTGATTGATTGATTGATTGACCTATCCTCAACCCACGGTAACCGCTCTAGGTATTAGGATACGGGAGTAGGAGGGGTGGTCCCGCCTAGGTCCCCGTAAGGATCTAGGTGCCCGGCGAGGCGGGTCCGCGGCTCAAAGGGGGCAGGAACCCCACACCCACACGCTTTACGTATCAAATGGGGGATTTTGTCGAATGTGTTACCCCCAGTGTCCCGTTTCCGCCTCGCATCCGGAAAGGTCAAAACCCCTGATGGCTATATCCCACAACTGAAGGTACAAGTCGGGGGCCTTGCCCTCCTAGTGGGAGCCCATGTAGTCCAAACCAAGACTTATGAATTCCTCCTGGCTGTCAATTGGCTGAAGTCAGCCAAGGCGGAAGTGCGGTTCAACAACAATACGCTTACATTCGAAAAGAAATATGGCCGGATAGGTTCCGTTAGTATCACCTGTGACAAGGAGGCTTTGAAACCAAAAGGGGGAGAAGACAAGTGTCAGAGACCTGACACACCCGTTCCCCAGCTAGTGCCTTATGAAGGAAAAGCGGTTACTCCCCCTTTCCCTCTCACAAACCCCAACGGAATCACTATTGGCGACCAATCATTGGAGCTTGGAGGCGGACCGCGCGCATAAACAACGGGCTCGTATCCTAATGTCCATGGGTGTCTTACCCCTGGAAACCACACGGAATTACCATGGGAAAGATACCCAGCCAAGCCGACTGACGGGTCACCAGGACGAATTACCCGGAGTGCTTTACCCAGGGTAAGACAGACTCCCGTACCGCCCCTCTTGGACCTCTATGACCAAGAAGACGCGTCGTCATCCAACTCTTGGATTAGTAGTGCGGGCGGTTCCCACCAAGTCATCTTCCTTGAGGACCCCGACGGGGACTTCCCCGCCTCCTGCGAGGTATTTATAGACTCCGACGGAGAGGAGGTCGAGCTCCTGACCTTGCAGGCGTCTAGCCTCTACTGCCTGGCGGACATGAGCGATCTAAGCAATCGGCCGCTGAGATGCCCGGGGGCGCACATGGACCCCGTTCGGATATGGGAACGGTCCGCGCAATACGCCACCCTGCCAGAGGCGCCACGGGACGACGTCGCTGATGCCGATGCGCAACAAATACTCTTGGGGTTCCGGAAGCAGCAATGGAAGGTATATACGACCATTGCTCGAAATTATGGGTACGTGTTCTCAGGACGTCTCCCCGACCTGGTTGGTGGGGAAGAGCCCTTTACGGACCCCATGGCCCTCCTGGGGCTTTTCTGGACGGATCAGCACCCGGGGCCCGGACGGCTATACATGGGAGAAGGAAGTGGAGTGGCCCATATACTGGGGTGTTGGAATCCTGGAGTACGTTGGGTGCCCCTGAACCGAGCACAGGATTGGATGACGCTTGCCATTGGCCTTCATGCGGAATACAAGGTGCTTCGCAAGATAAGGGATGACGAACGAGCATTGGGACTCCCGGCCAGAGTGGCGATACAGCTGGATCTGGAGCAGGAGTGCAATCTGGCGCTTGTTCCGGACCCATCATGACTAGAAGAGGTAAGTCGCGACGTGGAAGCGGACCGCAGTGGGAACACTAAGGGGCTGCCCCCTTCGTTGGGGTGCATAATCTGGTTGTCAGGGCATCGCGGCACGAACAAGGGGACCGACTGTTGTAGTGTTCCAGTAGCCGACGGCTACTCGCCGTTCGAGTGAAGTGGAGTCCTCACTCCCTCGCTGGACACGGAACTCGCACGGCCAGGGTTGTCGCCTTACCCAAGGTAATTCGGGATGAGTGTCGCGCTGGCAACGAGGGGAATCAAGGTCTGACGTACACCCCCAGTCATTACACTGCCCAGCCACCAGGAGTGGGAAGAGACACCCCCGCGGGGAAGGCCGTATGCAGGCCGGAAGCCTATGCCCCGTGCCGGATCCGTTGGCCCGCTCAGTCGATCGGTGGAAGTATGGCAAGGGAAATCGTCATACCAAGTATCTCAGCGAGCGCGATGCTCAGTCCCTAAACTGTATTTCCCGTGACGGTTAGGAAGGGATTCTTCACGCGGTTACTCCCTCCCCCAGGCGCGCTGAGCCCTGCCCGCCCCCATGGCCGGGGAGCGGCACTCCTTATCAGGAAGAAACAATGGACCTGGCCATCGGCCACCAACCCCTCTGACGATAAGGGGAATGGGACAGCGAGCCCATGGCCAGCGAGGTGGCAGAGTCCGGGTGACTTCATTAAGGCGGCTGATCAAGCGATCCACATTCCTCAGTGTTGCAGGAATCCCCGTGCTTGCAAGAGGTACTCAGGGCCTTTTTATGAGTATGGCCCTCTGCCGGCGGGACACCTGCAGCATCAGAACCATGACCCAATGGCTGTGGGAGGAGTAGCGGACCCCAAGGTCCCTCCCACCTTGGAGCGCTCGTTTGTACGGACCTGCATGGACCATCACGACCCCTTCTTTGGGAAGATCGACGAATGGATGCAGTGCCCCAATTGTCGCTACATCCTGCCCGACGGCAGCGAGCGACACGGCAAGGGATATGTAAATGTGCCAGGGCTCTTTACTGTGGGGAATTGGGGGCGGAAGCACCACTCCAGCATAACCTTTCAAGCCACCGAGTTCCCCCAAGACATAGGGGAAGTATTAGGCTATACACCCAGCCCCTATACTGCTAAGTTAGGGGGCCACATGGACAGCTTCGGTTACGAATTATGCCTTATGGCAGGTGATGAAATGGAAGAATTCTGTTTTGATGACGAATGATTGAGACAACCGAAACGGAAGGGACGGACGCCGGGGGCCCGCTGTACCAACGTGGAGAGAGCCGGCTGACCTCCAATAACCAAGCTGCAGGGCAGGGCGACCCCAACGCCTCTGGAAACCAGTAGCTGCCGACGGGGCCGCAATAGTCGTGACCCTTTTTTCATAGTTTTTTGGGGCTCGCGCGGCTAAGCATGCAAGCAAAACAACTATGTGCAATATCCTTGCCATGACCTTCATTGCCGTGTCTCGCGCATTAGATAGGATCCCACTGATTGCTCTTGCATGGGTTCCCATGGGAGACCAATATTTTATATGCAATTCGAGTATGGAGAAGTGCACCCCATCTTCTTTCCGGCACCCTGTGTGACGTGGCTGCTTGGGGTAAGACAGTTATTGACGTTTTCTGGAGTGGGAATTATGTAATATAGGATATCGACCTTTTGTGGGTGTTATTTAGAGCTTCCTGGTTCCAACGAGCTTTTAAACGCCCGAATCCGTTAAGAATTGACGAAGATATGGCCTCCTGAAGTCGTAGTACTTGGGGCCAGGGGGTCGGGTGTTAGATGCTTGGAATTAGAGGACATTAGGTCGATCGTAGGTGAACGGTGGATGGTGACTTGGCGCCTGGACGCGCACATGAGTTGTCTTGTCTTGATGTGACAGCGATGGACCCGCGATCGGGCATCGCGCATGCGGATTTGTGCGCGCGCATGCTGTGAATCGTGTTATCCGTTCTTGGCCCACTGCCTGGTCTCTCCGCGACCAGCGAGCCACCGACCGGCTGCGCCACCACCCGCCGCATACAGCAGGCCTCGGGGGACGATCCCCATCGTTCTGGGCCCACCGCGCATCCGAGGGAACGAGCGCCCTGCTTCAGCCCACCGAATTCGGTGGAGAGGGCTGGCTGACCTCCAACAGCCAAGCCGCAGGGCGTGGCGACCCCACGAGCTTCGGAAACCAGCGGCGCCCTTCAGGGCCGCAACACCCTGACTACTCTACTCTTCTTTTGCTAATGTCTGACTCATTCAATGCAGCCTCATTTTCATTTAATGTCCTGCGAATCTTGTAGCACTTTCCCATGCCTCTCGTGTATCTACATAAGAGTGTATGAACTCCTTATGGCACTAGCTGAAAATGCGTGTATGCGTGCTGAAAACGGTGGCATACTCGGGCCATCCCATTCAATGAGGTCATTGGACATGGCTGTGAATGCTCCAGAACGAGTACCATTAAGGCAAAGATGGCTGTTCATTACAGTCCATTTTGCGGTAACTCGAACAATCCATTGCTATGGCGTTTCGAGCATGTCAATTGAAACCTAATTCGGACAAAAGCTGGGACACAAAAAGTTATCCTGCCCACAATCAAACTGGATTTTGCACTCCAGGGCACAACGCCACCACAAAGTCCCGAAGTCGCACTCTCCCCCACGCACACAGCGCACCGCCAACTCCTCTGCCACCCAACCTCGCCTGGCAAGCCCAAGGCCGCGCTTCCACTGCCGCCCGCCCCGCCCGGCCCCCCCAGATGACCCCGGGCGCCTCCTGGAGCCCCCATCTGCACAGGGCCCCGCTCGCCCTGCCCACGCCTCCCTCGCGCACGCATGCCCGATCCCTCCCGGGAAGGGATGCCGGCGATGCCGCCGGCGACCTCCCCCGCCGCGGCGTGCCCATGCCCGGCGGCACCTGGTGGCTGCCCGGGCGCCGAGCGCCGGCAACGCTCTACGGTGACAACTTCGTGATACAGCGGAGCGACGCGGGGGATGGCCAGGAACAGGGCCTCGTTCGGGTGGAGGGGGATGCGGCGATCCAGCCCTGGGTGCCGCCGATCGAGATGGGCTTGGTGGCGATCGGCCAGACGAGTTTCCGCACGGCCCTGGCGGTTTACCGGCGAGGCCTGCCGCCTGAAGTTGTGGAGACGGACTGCTCGGTGGTCGAGGAGGAGTGGGGGGCCAGGGAGGGATCGGCGTGCCTGGCGATGGTGCCATTGGAGGCACCGGGGGCAGGGGGAGAGGAGGGGGAGAGGGAGCACCCGCGGCGCACGGGCCGCGTGCGGTTCAGGTGCGACCGCTGCGGGCGGGTCAACGTGAAGGCGTTCAACCCGCTGGCGTGGAACTACGGGGCGGTGCTGTGCAGGTGCGGGGGGCGAGGTGGAATGGGTGGGCAGGACTGTTGCGAGACAGCATGACGAGGCATTGCGCCCCCTTTTGTCCGCTTTTAAGGAGGCCCGAGGGCAAGAACGGCGATTGACTGGGGTGGATGGGGGGAGGGGGAGGGGAGGGGAGGGCCGGCGGAGCGCCAGATTCTTGTTGAGGCCGGAAATGATACGGCATCGATGCAACCCTCCCGCTGGCACGCGCGAGAATTCTTTCCGTACAGTGGAGGGATGATGTAGAGCCTCTAGTGCAGGAAAAGGAGCACATAACAAAAGCACAACGAAGGGCAAGAAACATGAACTTGAAGGGGGGAGGGAAGGCAGGGGCTTCCGTGTTGCTGCCTTTGCCAGGGCGTGGGAGGTGCTGATGGGCAGAGGACTGGGTATCATGTTCCATATGCATCTGTTGTCTGTTGTCGCAGGATCCATTTCCACCTTGAAGAGATCCAGAACCCAATTGAAATATGCAGTGACGAGAAATTAGGATGTGAAAGTAGCCAAACTTTGAAAGAGAGCGAAGTGGCATAAAATTAGCAGAAACATGACCAAAGAATGTGAACATTAGCATAGCATAGACATGAGCAAACAAGTGCAAGGGGGCTGTAACATGGAATGTTTTGCAGGTGTGAGGGTTGTGCAGTGGTGCACCTGCTGAGGGATGAAAAGGGTGTGTTTGGCATTTGGCGGAGGCCGGAGAAAGCTGTCCCTGCGGCAGGCCTGCTGGGAAGGCTTCACCCTTCGATAATGCAGGACAAGGAATGGAGGTCTGGGGGATTCGAGCTGTTCGATTTGTGAAGGGAGGCAGCCAGGACAACTGGTACGAACCTGGGGCGTGCTTGAGCAGGCGCCCCACTCATCGAACAGTGCCTTCGGGCGCATGGTCAACCCAGAGCAGGCTCAGCTGCTAGTAGTGGTCTCGATCGACTGGGCTGGCACTTGGGTGAGGAAAAGCAAGAGTTTGTATTTGAAGGTAGTGTTGTAACATAGGGCAGGGTGTGGTTTGTTGCGCACTGTATTCTGAGGGGCCCAGTGTACAATGGACGACTCTGGTCTCATTCTTTATTGGTAAAGCATTGTAAATCTGGGAAATACTGAGTATTGGAAGTGGTGCATCCTGAATTCGAGAACTTGGGGTGCCCAGTGTCTGTTGCAGGTGGATTTGTGACCCTGAGCAGAATAGGAGAAATACAAGGAGTGGGCTGTTGCAAAAAGTACCGCGCTGATTGCATCACAGGCTGAAATTGGTCCTGTGCGGCTTGCAACGAGTTGAGCAGTCCCACACAGTGCTGTGTGTGCTTGTTCAACTGCAACAGGCCATGCTCATGGTGTTGTGGTTTCGGCTGTTGGATTGCGTTCATGGAGGCTTCGCTTGAGGCTGGCACATATAGCTCCATAGTGCACAGATGCAACATTTATTTGTTTGCTGTGTAGTCGCACCAATGTTTCAGACACTCCATTGCAGCTTGACGTGTCAGGTGAGTGTTGTCCAATACAGTGTGGCTTGGCCATGTGCAAGTCATGGTGTTGGTGCATGCGTGATACCCCCCTGGAAAACAATATCCCACTGGCGGTCCCACTGAATTCTTGGAATTTCAGTCACAATTCCTCACTGTGGGTTGGGACCCTCTCACGTTTGCTTAACCTCCCTTGGAAAAGCGTGTGTTAAAAGGCCACAGCATGTGTCCATGCACGACGAGTGCTTCTCACAAGGGCATGAACCATTGCTTATACTGGCCATTGTCCTGTCTGCCGCCATTGGCATTGCCGACGGACTGGGCACTCTCCACGAACGGGAAAGCGCCTGCATGCTGAAATTCACGCACCACTCCTCGTTTCTGTTCCGCGTTTCTGTTCGCTACAAGGGCCACACCGACCCACGCCGACGGCTTCCAATCGGCCGATGAGCCTGCTGGCGCTGGCAGTTCCGCTGGGGACTTGGCAATGCAGACGTCGGCTGTGCCTGGATCCTCGTTGTCCGCATGGCATCAGCAAGACATGGATGTTACCTTGTGGGACACAGCTGTGGGCGCCGACGAACTCATGGCTCAAGCAGGTGGCTGACGGACTCATCACCCGAGTCGGTGACTAACAGGCCATGTTATGCAAGGGTTGCTATCGGCCGTGCCAATGCGCGGGCCTTCTCAACTTTGTCACTGACTGTCCTTGCGCGGCTGTTTTCCGTGCCTTCGCCCGTTGTTCCAGCCGCTGCTGTCCTTGCAGCGTCCGCTGCCGGTGGTTTGCCGTGGCTGCTCTGCCCTCAGGGGCCGTCCACCCCTGGGCACCGAATGGAGGTGAGATCCAAAGAGCGGCGCTGCTGCGCGCTCCGTCCACCACCCGGGGCAATGTCTGCGCGACGCGGACGCCGGAGCCTCTTCCACGCTCCTTGTCCGGGAGCGGCCACAGCCAATCGGAAAGCGGCAGCACCATTTGACGACTCTTTGGATGAGGACGCGAGCATCGGGGTGTGCGGACCCGCGGCCTGCCGGCACGCGGCAGGGCGGATTTGAGGCACGCGCTCGGCCGCCGACCATGCTTGAGAAGGATGAAGGCGGGGCGGGATTGGCGCGCCAGTAGTGCCATGCGGCAGCGGGGCCCATCTGGCATCGCTTGCTGTGAGGAAAAATAGTTTCCGTGTCTAGGGTGGGGCACGCGATTTCGCGCTTGCATTCTCGCAATAAGATTGCTCGAGCCGCGCTTCTCCGCGTCGCCGATGTTCGCACGGGTTGTTTCCCTGTCCGAGCGGCATTGAGCCTCGCTGTAGTATCTGTACGCCCGCGCAAAGCCATGCGAAGCTGTGCTGGCATCGTTTGTGGGAAGCTGAGCCTTGGGGGTAGGCCGACAGCATGGTTTTCCTTGCAATCACTGTCTCACCAGGTTGCCACGTTAGAGCGGCGGGGTGCCCAAGGACTGGGAAATCTTCCCCTTGTCTAGCGTCTCGGCAGGTAGAGGTAGCGGTGGATAGCATAGATGACGGAACGGGGGTTGCGGCAAGCGAGAACAGCAGTGCATGGTACAGGCACCCTTTTGTGACCGGGCCTAACAGCAAGCATGTGCGTTCCTGACAGTTGAGGAGCAGTGAGCTATGTAACTGCCTACGGAGTGCAGGTTAGTGCTCGAACATCATTTGGTCAAGCCTGACCTCCAGCAGCTTGCCTTTGGTGTGTTAAGATGTCACACACCCTTGCACAGGCGCATGCAAGTCTGGAAGCAACGGAGGCAATATCAGCCACATCGCTGGCTGCAGAACAACCTGAGCAGTGTTTGTTCAGGAAGGCAGCAGCCGAGGTCTAAAAATATCAAGGGCGAAAATCTCAGTGTGTGTGTGTGTGTGCAGTGGATTGTCAAATGCTTGTGCTAAAGTGCTGTGTCAAGCTTAACAAATGCGGATATTTCTACCTCGTTGTTTCTACCTTGTAGCAGATTCCTGCCGCTGGTTGAGAAGTCTGGAATTCAAGATACACTTTTCATGCTCTTTCTGTGGTTCCTTCAGAGTTTGCACAGTGGCTCTCCTGCCCTGTTGCTTGTGGCATTTACTTGATGAAGTTCATATCCGTTTTCCTACTTCGGTGCCTCAGCTCTAGGCCCACACATCTGACACGCCAATGACTTGTGCTGGTCGTCACAGGGCCCTATGCATGTATGTAAAGGTGGCACACAGAAAAGGTTCTGGACACTGCCTGCAGTACATTCCTCAGAGCTTTGCTTCACAGCTGCCTGGTTGCACTTTTTCGACTCCAGTAGCCGCGGTCAAGTGACACTGAACTCCTCTTCTACCCAGAAGCAGAGTGTAGTATCCTTTATCATATGAATCCGCCCAGTGCTGAAGACTCTGTGAGCGGCTGGGCAATCATCACTCCAGCAGCTCTTCACGTGGCTGTAGCAAGCGTATTTATTTGCATCTGTTTTTTGTACTTGCAGTTTTGGTGGTGGGCTGCACATTCTTCTTGATCACAGCCAACATCCACCATGCAGTGGCACAGAACAGCTCTGCAGACACCACATGGCAGTTCTCCTTCAAGTTGCCCATCGACCAAAAGGAAGTGGGCTGCTGCAAAACAATTGGGATGCCTGCAAACGATACAGGGGGAAAGCGGGTGCCCTCGCTCATCGGCATTGGAGTCGAGAAATGTGGATCCACATACTTCGCAGAGCTGCTGAAGTTACACCCCAAGATGCAGATGTCTAAACAGAAGGAGGTCCACTTCTTGGACAGAAGTGTTCGCAGACAGAAGCTGCCATCGGCCCTCAAGGAGTACCTGGATGTGTGGCAGATAAACAAGTGGCACGAGTCTAAGCCAGACATCCAATTGTTTGAAGTGACGCCAAACTACATCTATGTGGGTTTCAGCCAGGGACAAGGCTCCCTTGATGTTTCTGCAACTTTCCTGCCAGTCCCAGTACTTGTGACAGCTGGTGCTGATTTCAACTCGTGTGTGTGTGTGTGTGTGTGTGCTCCCAGATACCATCAGCGGCCTGCCGTAGCAAGACGTTTTTCCCCAACGTCAAGTTTGTGGTGGTCTTGAGGGACCCCGCAGACCGTGCGTATTCTCAGTACACCATGTTTCGTAGTGTGCAGTGCCCGATATACCAGAGGGCATTCATATGTCCGTATAAGAACCAGAGGTTCTATGACGTTGTTCAGGAAGGCATAGCGCTACTGGGGATAAGGAATTGCACCTTCAATACAGGTAATGGTGTTTTCAACATGTTGGGGAACATTGCATCGCACGAGGTGAACTGTGGTAAGCAACACGTTAAAAATTTGTGTATCAGTCTGCCTGCAAACCTTTGAACAAATGTGTATATAGCATCACAGAAACATGTCTTCAAACACTCTCCCATGACACTCTGCTGCCTGTGAAGTCAACATGCTGTGTAACCCTTTTGAGAATTTCTTAGAACGTAACTTGCAGCACAAGAAATGTCATGGAAGTTTCTGCTTATGAAACAGGTGACATCGTGTGCGCAATGGCGAAGTCTCAGCTTGTCATGAATATGCCTAGCTGGATTGCCATTACGTTGTCCCTTCAAACTTGCAATTAGACTTTGCCCACATACTCTCCAACTTCCAATCAAAATGCACGAGTGATTTTCTCACCCGCAGTCAAGAGTTAGCAGAGTACCTTTCTGAGCGCATGCATTGCCAACATGATGGAGGGGAGACCCTTCGAAGTGGCGGTCGTGCATAGAAATAGAAGAGTCGCAACAAATCCTTGTACCTATTGTGCGATGCCACGGTGCACATCACTTCATTGGCACAAAGCTGATGCCAATATGGTCACAATGCTATGCGCCATCACTGCGAGTTGCTTCACAAGTGATGCACAGCGTTTGCTAGACTGCTGCAACAATGACGAAACGTTTGGTGCACGGGTTGTGGCAGGTCGCCCGCTGAAAGGATGGAATGAGTGCTTTGGCTGTCTGATCAACGATGAGTCCATCTCAAAGTACTGCCATGGTCGTTGGTACATGTTCGACAATGGGCCAAACAATCAGCGCTGCCATGACTTGGCTTCGGACATAGTGTCAAGGGGACTGTATGCGGCGCAGATAGCATGGTGGTTTCAGCATTTTCCCCCAGAACAGTTCCTGTTCATCAACTCCAATGAATTGTTTGAGGTGAGCAGCGGGGTAGGTCACTTGGCTGACCAAAGTTGTAACGTCGCGATTAGGCTTTGCGATCCTGGAGCGGAGCGGCCAATACTTTTCACGCGACTAGAGCTTTGTCCCATATGGGACATGCTTGTTGCGCGTCAAGTTCTAATAGGCAGGTTCTGGTATGATGGAAGCAGCAGTTAGTGCTGTTGCTGCGCGAATCCGCAGGTTGGCACCAACACTTCACTACGGTGCTTTTCTTTCCGCAGGATCCCGTTCGGGAAATGAACAGGGTGGCCAATTTCACTGGCTTGGATGTTCCCTTCACATCGGACATGCTTCGACGCGAGAAAAAGGGCGCCAAGAACACTGGCGAGTATGGAAAATTCCATGATGCTCTGGTTGAAGAATCCAAGGAGATGCTGCGAAAGTTCTATCTCCGGCCCAACGAAGACCTGTACGAACTGTTGAGGATCAATGGCCATAATTTCACGCGATTTGAGGGCCCAGGAGCCCTTGGACCTCAGAGTGCTGAGAGCGCGTCAGAGGAAATGCCTGAAATGCCTGAGGACGTGCCCGGCAATGAAACTGTCGCCGTGGCGGACGCGGCTGGGAACCTACCTGAAGAGCCAGAGGACGTGTCTGAGAACGAAGCCGAAGTTGCGGACAACGCACCTGAGAATGTGCACCCCGAATATGCAGAGGATGCACCCAGCCATGGGGTTGAACTCGTGGACATCGTTGATGTTCTAATGTAGATCAGATGGAGTGAAATGGTGGGGACCGAAATACAAGGCACACGAGGGGTTATCATAGAACACGCCCATCCCAATCAAGACGGTGCTTGCGTAGCATCAGAGATATTACAGGGATTTTGAGCAAGGAAGAGTTTCGCACAAGCCGGATGAGGTGAGATTCATCTGGAATTTAAACAGGAATGTCGTCGCCAGCCCAGATCGATAGAGCGCCACTCTCCCGAATATGGTGCGAGCATTATTAAGAAATCAAGAGCAGTACAGTGCAGGTGCAGCTATGTACTCACAAACAGGTATCACTGCACACTCGCGACGAAGAACATCCTCCGTTCCACTCGTACATTTGTCGATGCCTTTTGCGGATGTATGCCATTCAACTACAACATCTGTAAGCAGCTGGACATCCTCGGCAACAATGGGTATGCGCTCTCTGCACCCTCGTGAGGGACGCAGGCCATGTACGCATCAAAATTTGAAATGCGCAAAGCCTCAGTTACTGAGGCGTCGATTCGGTAGCTGCTTTAAGTTCGAGCAACACTCACACAAGCCTGAATGTGCACCCAGAACATTACGTCGTTTGAGCCGCATTCTCTGTCATGCTCTTTACGGGTTTTATGCGTAAACAGAGAAACGTCCATTTTGACGGCCATATTATGCATTTCTACGGCGCTTCGACAGACACAGCCTACATGATGATGTCGCAAATAATGATCAGTCCGCCACCTTCTTGAGCACCCCCAACACAGCATCCACCTCGCCCTCAGCAAGGGCAACGACGTCACCAACAGGTAGTCGTCATCTGCACACTCCAGCGCACGTGGATGCCACTCTCCGGACTCCTTGAGTCTGCATGCACTGGCTGTACGCGCACAGGGTCAATATTTACGCACTTTAAATGTAAAAACGCAAAACTAGTTTAACATGTAAATACGCATAAATGCACTGCGTCTACGTCGTCAATAACAAGTCCTGTACTGTGAGGTGGCTCTCTCCTTTGACGTACCCAGGACGATGGACGAGCTGCCAGCAATCGCGCAACACTGAACCGATTCGACAAAAAGTAACGAAAAGTTTCCGCCTCAGTGCCAAAGGTTAAGAGCGCAAATGGTTGCACTGCTACGGGACTGTGCAGACGCCTTGCTGGGTTGTGCTAGACTCCCTGTCCACGTGCCAGTTCACAAAAAGACCCGTCACCCCTGGGTGTCGCCATGCAGTACGTGGATGCAGCTCATACAACGGTAATGGCGATCTGTCTACCAAGCACAATTGTGCCCGTGTATATTCAGGATGCAAGAAATAGTGCACAACAAGGCTAGGAGTTCGCCGCCAGCTCCCTATTTCGCCCGAGGAAAGTAGTGTCCCTGACTTCTTTGTTTAAATGCCAAAATGTTGTATCAGTAAATCGAGAATCCGCTTTATTCCCATCGACTTGTTGTAAAGTTTGCAACAGCGAGGCACGGAATGGACAAAGTTATGCATTCCATACTCTTTCTGCTCGCTCTAAAGTACTGCTGTACTGGTGAAATCCCCTCATCGGAAGCGTTCTGAGAGCGCCAAATCGCATCATACACAAATCAGATTCCTACTATCGAATGCGCTATGGAAGTATCCTGCAGCAATGTCAGTTCGCCAATGGCGCCCAGGCACCCGCGTCCGTTAGGAGGGAGCGCACGCGCCGGCGATTTGTCCTGGATTGTTGCCTCTATTCACGGGTGCACGTTGCATACCGGGCATCCCTCCACGGGGAACACTTTGCGCGCATTCTGACAACGGAACGCAAGGGGCACCCTGACATCGCCGAGTACGCAGAGATCTCCAGGCAAGCAGCCCAAAAAAATCGGTGTTCAAGAACACACTGCGCGGCACCCTACTGGGCAGGTGGTGGGACAGCGTCCCAATCTTGGGCGCCAGCTTGCAAAGCCCAGTTGCCAGTCATCACGCTGCCTTGAACGCACAGCGCCGGCTCCTTGGTCGCCCACCGAGGTTGTCTGGCACGTCCTGAGGCTCACCTGTGCCTCATTTTTCCATCATGTGGTCATGCCAAAAAGAAAGCGCTGCAAGGCAAGGTGCAGGGAGTGGTAGCGCGCCTGAGTCCGTGGTGCGACGCGCCGCAAGACGCGGGATTGCGGCTAGGTGCTGGTCTTGCGCAAGAGTGCCTCTCCACATCATATCTCGTTGGAGCGATGGCTATCCTGTTAGGAACAGGGGCTCACACCACCGGAGATACATTTGCCCCGTCGCTTCCCGCTGGTTTTCGATTGGCCGGGCCGAATCGGCTGGCCCGAATCGGCTGAGCCGATGCCTCTTGGCCGTGCACCCAGCCGTCAGCCACCGCACAGGCGCGGTTCACTAGTTTCAACCTCCCTGCGCCGTCGACCACCGTGGGAGCCCGCAACGGGTCGCACTGGCGGACAGCGCGGGGGCGCCGGAGCACGCGCGGCTTGCGTGGTGCCGCTGTGGCCCCGAGTGCCGCTGCCCAGTCCTGGACCGCTTGATCGCGTGCACTGTGCCCTGTCACAGGACTCCCGTGGCCTCAAGCCAGGACTGCCCCGTCCGACCTGCCGCATTCGCACGCCGGCGCACAGTCAGTGCCTGCCGGGTTCGGCACACAGCCGCAACTGCGGACTGGAAGTGCCCGCGCAGCTCCCAACGGCCAACAGGGCTGTCACCCAGGCCCGTCGCGTCGCCATCAGTCCCATCAGGCATCAGCATGCGCCCTTCACGGGCATTGAGGCAAGTTTGACCGTTCTCGGGGGCAGTGCATTGGCCGCCCCGTGCCGGTACAAAATGATAGAATCCGCATGGTCACCATTGGCATCGGGCCCAGCTTCCCCCTGAGGACGTTGCTCACTGGCCCTCGGGGAGCGCCGGCTCTACGGTGGTGCGGAGCGGGCCTCCGTGAGGGGCAGGAATGATGGAGGAGGGGAGGGCGGTAGCCGCGGATGGCATCCGGGTGAGCGAGGCAAGGGCGCATCTGCGGAACAGGCACCACCATCGCGATCAGCCCTCTGCCAGTGGCCGCTCAAGGGTGGGCCTAAGTTTTGTGGGCCGACTGGGCGCCTCGCCTGGATTGTAGGAACCGAAGCGCGGAGGGAATGGCGCCGCCGGGCCGGGAATGCGCTTGGCGGCGCGGTTGGAGGATAAGGGTAGGGTGTGCGGGATGGGGGCCCCCGCAGGGTTGCCAATCGGTGACAGGCCTCGTAGTGGTATCGGGCTCATCGTACAGCAACCCATCTGCTGCCTGGCCGTCTCCTGCGGGCCTTGCAGGCTGCGCACTGCGGAGTTTGCGTCGATGGCTCGGTGCAGAGGTCGTTGCCGTCGCAGGAAGGCGAAATGGGTTTGCTCGGCATCACTACGGCATTGGCGGTGTTGTCCAAGTCGTCCGCCTTTGGGCGGTCACGCTTGCCCGGCGTTCTCCGTGATTTTAGGATGTTCCGGCCCTTGTGCTCCACGATTTGCATAGCATTTTAGTTCTGCCCAGAGAGGCGCACAGTGGATGAGGAATGAACCGTTGTCCTGAACTCAGGCGTGAGTGGGAACCCCGTACGCAGTAGCAATCGAGGGAATATAGCCGGGGTGCCAATCAACGCGAAGCCATGTTTGGAATTGGCAGGCAAGCTGAGAATGTTCGTCTGCCCTTATCGCAGAAGAGGAAATCAGGAGCCTCCCTTTGTTTGCACACAGGTGAGTTTGAGACGGTGCACCCACAGTGCAGAGCAACACTGCAGATTTGGTTCGTGCCTAAGTGGGACTCCACCATCGATTTTTGGAAATGTGTTTGAGTAATCTTGGCTCATCTATTGGCTTCACCTGGGTCTTCCCTCAATGTACGCATTGCACCGCAGTGCGACATTCTTCAGATGCAACTGCAGTTCTTTTGTGCTTTGACAGACATGAGAGGCAGCTTTGGTGTCTTGACGTGTATGTGTGTAGCTGTCAAACTTGCAGGAGGCGCAGTTTAGTCTTGCTGCACCTGTGTCCTGGGCTCATTATTTTGTTGTTGTTTACTACAATGAGTTATGCAGCTGCATGTCTTGTCACCAGCACAGCAAAGACAGCTCATAATGTCCATGCCAAGTATCAGAGCCCATCACACGGCCAGTTCTCCCTTGGACCCCCCCAACAGTCAAGAAAAAAGAGGAACAAGGGTCCCAAGGGCTCATCGTCTACCCCGGGCCCAGACAGTTCACCAATGTCACTTGCACAAAATTGCCACACGCACCTAAATACTTTCAGGGCCATTTGAGCAAACGCTCAGACTTGTGATGTTGGGTGAGTTGGAAGTACAGACAACATTTTCAGTAGTTTTTGAGAGAACTAGTGGAGCCAGGTCCATAAAAGTAGAAAAGGGAAATCTGTGGGGGAAACTGGAGAAAAGGGTGCCCATAGGAAATATGTGTTGGTGCTGTGATGTGTTTGGAGATCCAGAGAACAGGTCATATGCTAGAGCATTCCTTGCTGGCAAGACTACAGCAGACCCTTCTTTGCACATCCCTGCAGTGCTGTAATCGCCATTGGTGACAAGACCGAAACCGCAAGCAAGCAGTGTGCTCGCAGCCAAAGCCATGCTCTGGGGCAAAGGAGGGGGGGGGGAAGATGTCTTCACCGAAGCATCTAAGGCCTTTGTGGGACATTCACCCCAAAGAACACTGGAAAGCAGCTTGTACACCAGAATAGAAATGACCTGAGCCTCCCCACGCATGCTGGCAAAATAGATGGAAAGAGATGCTTATGCGATGCCAAAGAAACTATGGCAGGAGAACAGCAAATCCCGAGTCTTCATACCCCAGCTCAGTATTTGTGGTGGAAGGAGGCAATGGGACCCAGGAGGGATGGATCTCAGGCAAGAGGATTGTGCCAATGGACACACTGTGAAGAGTGAACGAAGAATAACCTCTAAGTACTGTAACCCTGGCGGTGGTGCAGGGTATGCCGTTTCTCTTGTCACTCCCTTAGCAACAGCTGTGCTGTGCAATAGAAAGACACCAACTTTGTTCCTGACTGCTGTTCCTGCGATTTTGCCCCAAGTGCTGATGCAATTTGAGAGCAACAGGATGACACTCGATCTGAAGTGATGTTTGCCTGTGCAGCATGTGCAGCGCGCCTTGCTGTCCTCTTCATTGCAACAAACATGGCGCCAGTCACAGCACTCGATGGGGGTGTGCCCAGGCCACAGTTCTCATTTCATTGGCCTGATGAGCCTGAGCACTCCACCTGCTGCCCCAACATCCAAATGCCTGGGAACATGAGTGCTGGACTGCAGTTACCATCCTTGGTTGGCATCGGAGTGGAGAAGTGTGGGTCCACGTACCTTGCAAGTCTGCTAAAAATGCACCCTGAGCTGCAAATAGCCCGAAGGAAAGAGGTGCACTTTCTTGACAACAGCTTTCCTGAGGTTCAACTGCCCTCCGTCTTCAGCGCTTACCTCAAAATGTGGAATGCAAACAAACACAAGGCGCAAGGCAGCAGGGGACTCAGAGGATATGATGAAGAAATGGGGGGCTTTGATGTATACGAAACATACTCAGAGACCCAGGAAGACCAGCCAAATGATTGGATGGATGAACAGGCATTGCCTGCCCATGATCAGCCACACCTCCAGCTGTATGAAGTGACGCCAAACTACATCTATGTGAGTGGAACCAAGGCACGACACTGCCCCCCTTTTCTGCAGTCGTAAATCCACTAACATCGAGTGCATATGTCAAACAGGACTTGTCACTGTTGTGTCATCTGTTGATCCGTCAGACTTTTGTCCAAGCACAGTGGATTCAATGTTGTGTTTGCATCTTAGATTCATGTTTGGTAATTTTGCGCTCTCTAAGTATCTTGGTTCTGTGGCGTTGGTCAAAGGGGAAAAGCAAATAATCAGACTCAGTTGTGATAAACATGTGCGTTCATGTGGCAGTACTCATCGTGGTCAATTGGCATCTCATGGAAATTGAACTGGTTTTAGCATCCAGACCGACTTGATTAGTTGTCTTTCATGTTGTGAGCATGATAGACGTCCAGGTAGAGTGTTGTCACACCAAGGTTCTGTTGGATCAAGTGGGCAGGACCGGATGTCCCCGGACTCTTGTTGACCTTGCACTTGTGCACCGATTTCCCTCTGACTTTGCAACAATGCATATTTGGACAACATTGGTGCTCTCTGTCTTGCCCAACGATTGTCAATCTGCCTGGTGCCCTGAAGGCTTGAAAATGAAGCAGTGGTGAAAAGTAGGGCAGTTTTGGTTCTTTGACCTCTGCTGATGGTGCGAAACATCGGATGTGGGCTGTTGGGCATCTTATGGATTGAACTCCTGCAGTAAGGAAACACGCTTTGCATAGCGCTGCAATCTGTTCTAAAATCCCAGAAAACCACATTTCCTTTCCTACACAGTGTCATTTGTGCAATCAATCTACCAATGAACACTATCCAACATCGGCCCAAGGAGGCAGCCATCAGTTCCAGATTTTGAGCAAGCGGTGTTGATGATTTGCATGATGAGGACCCCCATTTGCTGGAATTGTAACCCCTAATCATCACCTCCTTTGTATCAAAACTTGTTTGTGTTATGGTGGATCAAGAACGAGTTTGTGCAAGATTGCCAGCCGCTACAGAAGCAAAGGATGATACACATCATCAGCGACTCACAGAACAATGAAAGTGTGCATTTTCCCTTGGCATGGTGAGAAGCCACAGCTACGCATCATGAGAGTTGCGATTCCGTGTGGAAGAGCATCCAGCACTGATTCCAGCCATGTTGCTGTGTTGGCAGATACCAAGTGCTGCATGTCGGGCCAAGGCCTTGCTTCCCAATACCAAATTCGTGGCTGTTTTAAGAGACCCTGCAGATCGTGCATACTCACAGTTCACGATGTTTCGCAGCCTGCAGTGCCCAAAGTATATGAGGGCCTCCAAGCCATTCATATGCCCATACCAGTGGCTGCGTTTCTATGACGTTGTTCAAGAGGGAATAGCATTGCTGGGGGTCAGGAATTGCACCTTCAACACAGGTGAGATCTGCAGGTATCACTTCATGGCCAACCTGGATGCCAGTTGTTCATAGCTATTCCATGTGGAGACATAACCTGATTCTGTGGCAAAATTTCCAGAGCAACTAGATCTCTTCAACAGCTCAGATGATATGTTCAGGCTTGAAGGACTGGTCTATGGGATCGAAGTCAGGATTGGCTCAGGATTGATTTGCAGTTGCCTTGACATGCCACACCTTCAGGCTGTAGCCTGCAGGGCAATGCTGTCTTGCCACTGTCACTTCAAAGCTGAGTGTCTAAGGTCCATGCATCGAACAACACTCAACCGCCCATGCAGAGTACACCATTTCCAAACTGTGCTTGAATTCGTCTGTATCATCTGGTGTGTAGGTAGCCCTGTCAGGTCATGGAACGACTGCTTTGGTTGTCTGATCAATGACCACACCGTCACAGAATATTGCCATGGGCGTTGGTACTTGTTCAACGATGGGCCAACCAAACAGCGGTGCCATGACTTTGCATCGGACATAATATCCAGGGGGCTGTATGCCGCACAGATTGCCTGGTGGTTTCAGCAATTTCCTCCAGAGCAATTCTTGTTCATAAGCTCAGATGATCTGTTTGAGGTGAGGTGCGACTCTCAACTTTCGCTGGTGAAGGTTGCTGTTGGTTTCATTGGCTGCATAGTTTTTTATCTTACCTTTGCCTTGTGCCGTGCATCCAATCCACCATCCCGCCACTTGAGACATTCGTGTGCACGCTGGGGAGGGACACTCTTGAGGCTAGGAGTGTCGGCTGTTGCCGCTCGGGCAGCAGCCTTAAAGCCGAAATAAGCTTGTTTCACCCATGGTTGACGAAGGCAAAACATGATCACGGCACAGAGTACGCCCACTGCGGCCAGCGCGCAGTTCTCAGGTACAGGGCGATCGCCGGCCATGCCCATGTGAGAAGGAATCAAATGATTGGAAACTGGTGACAGGTTTCCGAGAAAGATGTTCTGTGGTGAATATGGAACATTTGCCTCAGCGCAGCCATAAAGGACAGGAAGTGCAACAGGAAGAGGTGTGCAGCATGTGTTCGCCCTATTCTGAAGGGCTTAGACGTGTTGAAGTGCTTATTGGGTTCATGCACTCGGGGTGACAGCTGGGCGTGCACCGTCATGGCCAGGTGTTTGTGTCTACTTGAAAGCAACTTCACTGCAGTGAGATGCGAATGGCGCTACTGGATACCCCAGGGGACCTGTCCCATGAAACTGCACCCAGATGCTCCAAAACAAGAAACAGAAAATAACAAAACCACACAAACAAAAAAAATGCACATGCAACATTGACAGACAAAAATACAGTAGTCCCTGAAACCTCTCGGTGCCTTGACCAACAGGGTGGCAATCAATCAGTCAGTCGGTCACCACTATGAAGTTTTACATGACAAGGCCAGTAGGTAACCGTCAGATTCCTATTTTGCGTGAGCAAAGTGGCGTCCGCGATTGTTATTCGTAAGATAATTGATGAATGAACGAATCAATCAAGTCGACAAATCCAGGGATGAATCAATGAATCAGTCAGCTTTTCCAGGAGCTCTTCAATATCCATGGTCGCTGGTACCGAAGAGCTGTGCAAGTGGCAGACTTCAAGTGCTTCGCAGTTAAGCGCTGTGCTTGCCATCGTGAGCAGACAGTTCTGCCTTTGGGTTGGTGATCAGCGTTCGGGTAACGCCCACTTCCAAGAGTAGGTGTTGATGTTGGATGCGGCCACTGCAAATTGACGCCAACGACGCCTCGACCTGCAGTGTTGCATTATCAGGCAAACACAATCAACATTGAGTGTGATCGTTCACCCTATCGACGAAGCAGCTGGCAGTTGCTGCGTGCCTGGTTGATGTCTCAGCTCCTCGCTTTGGCCAAGTGCAACTGTGCAATTGAATTTTAGAATCGTGAAACGCCATTCCAGGGACTTGAATGTTTTGGCCCGCAGGACCCTGTGAGAGAGCTGAACAGGGTGGCGGACTTCATTGGACTGGAGGCGCCCTTCACGTCGAACATGCTGGAGACAGCGCAGAAGGTGTACCAAAACAAAGGAAAGTACAGGAAGTTCCACGACACGTTGGTGGAGGAGTCCAAGGCAATCCTGAGGGAATTCTACTCCCAGCCAAACGAGGACCTGTACGAATTGTTGAGGATCAACGGCCACTACTTCAGGAGGTTCGACGAGGGAAGGGGTTCGACCAGTGGGGCTCAGCTGGAGGATATCGTCGATGTGCTGATGTAGATCAGTGAAGTTTTTAGGTTGCGTATGCATATAGAGGGCAGAAGCGAGGGGCTTGCGAATTGTGATCGATGAAGACGCAGTGGGAGGTGGTGGTGGCTGGCACGCCCTAAGTGATAGGTGGCTGTTGCCGCGCAAGGAGACGGTCGAAACGCGCTGGACGCGTTTGAGGTGACGGGAACTTGCTTGGCATTGGATGCAGTCCGAATGGGCCGTGATTAATACGGAATGGGATGAGGAATGACTTGTGCTTTGGTACAATGCGTGGTGGGTGGATATTCTTGTTTTCACATACACCTGGCGTGGCGCAGTGTTCTGGACATGTGCCGCTGCTGAATTACTCACATTGGGCCTGTACACTCTTTGTGGAATCCCCGAGATCTTTTCAAGGGACGACGCTATTTGATTTTCGTACGCTTAGCATCAAATTGGCGTTAAGCTCAGACATACCCCGCCCACCCCCACCCCGCCCCACCCCTCGTTAGCTTAAGTCCTTATTATGATGCCATGATGACTCATCACATTACTAACAATGCCACACAACTTCAAAAAACTTTTAGGGAAAGAATAGCAAAATTGTAGCGATTGCGGTGATTTGGAAAATGGGATGCCAAAGTCATGATAGGTGATGGGAGCAGCCCCAAAGCCTGAAAATTGATCCATTCTAAGGGTTTCCTCGATTATTGAAAGTTTGAAGGAGGCTTGCAACAAGTCATGAGCTATTTGCCGCTGATCAGGGCCGCTTTTGTGCATCTTCCCACAATTGATTTTATTGCATTTACATGATCTTTTGGTGTCAATGGCTGGACACCTCTCCCCCCAAAACCTCCCACCCCCCCCATCCCTCCCGTTAATTTGACACTAAATGTACAAGAATCAGAATAATGTCTTGCCCAAAACAATGTGGGTTTTGCTTTACCGGTCTCCTGAGCCCACCTGGCCACGTACTCCCCCATGTCCAAACACTTACAACTTCACAACAATCCAATGTACTGTACCCAAGGTCCCCATACTTCAAGTTTACCTTCGCTTCGCTAGTATTTAACGCCACTCAGCGAGTGGCTGGACCCATGAGTCCGCTCCCTAATCCCGAATTTCACTCCCTTCATTGCCTCTCTACCCCAAACTAAACGGAACACTACTCTCTAGGGTGGGAGGGCCGGGTGCGAAACAAGGTAATGAGGGGGACCGACGGGGGAGACTAAATAGCCACCCCACTCAGCCCCACCAAGCCCGCCAACTCCAAGACGCCAAGGTTGGCGGCACCTTGTAATTTCGTATTTTGACTGACTCACAGTGCTAGGCTGGCCAGAAATCCCAAGGGAAGGGGTTGAGTAAGCCCCAGGTTCAGACTGAGCCGTTGGAATCACCGGCGCTGCCCACCCATTGTCTCCCTTGGCAAAAACCTATTTAATACGATAGCTAATTTCATTTTTGGCCTGATGTATGCTAACTATCAAAGACTTGCAACTTTCAATAGGAAGACTTTTACAATCTTGGCAGGGGAGGACCGCAACACTGATTGGGCGCCAACAACGATCTTCAAGTTGTTCGCATTGCAACAATCTACAACTTCGCAGAGATGAGCTCCTTCCCCATGAATATATGTTATTGTTAATGACAACACAAAGAGTGCAGCGAAGGTGGGGACAGTTGCCGAATGATTGACAATAGAAAACTTGCATATGTAGCGATATTGGGGGCACTCGTCACCATCTTCATAGTGAATGCTATGTAATTAAAGAATTCATCATCATCAATACTATCATCATCATCATCATTCTCATCATTCTCATATATCGTGGACCCTCCATCACACCTCAGATTTATGCCATACACTTCAGCGCCTTCCATTCAAGCACACAAATAGAACTCCGTGCATCGAATTGGGATGAGAGAATGTTTGCATTGGAACAACATGTAATTAATAATTACTAATTATGGCACGATAGTCTCTTATTTGCAGGGCGCCCTCCTTGCCACTCAAAAACATAAAGGAGGTTTAGGGAGATTCAAGAACAACAAGGAGCTTTGTATGTGCGCCTGCAAAGCACTTTGGCGCTTGTCCACATGAGCTACAACAATTCGCCTTTTATGTGTACTAGGACATTCAGATTCACTAGAAAACGAGCGAGCATACTTAATAGCCAAGGTTGCAACACTGGGCCCCCCTCCCCTCAGGACCCATTTCCGAGACTACCCTCACATCTCACCCTTACCTGCTCATTATTGATGTCCCGCATTCCCGAACCTCCCTAAAATGCATTCTATATCACCATTATACTTGTTGCTTTTGAGACCCGATACACCGACATTCGTCATCACCATGACGAGCTCCAGCTGCCACCATATATATGTCCTTCCTTAAAGTGGACTCAAATGTTGGTTAGGAAGGAAACCTCTTTGGTGGCTTAGTTTGTAACTGTGCATTGTCTCGTGAATGCCTACATTTTTAGCTTGAACCTTCGAGACGACCCTAGTTGTTCCTTTTATGAAAGTGACTATTATGACCATTCTTACATCCTCTTCTTCTACCCTAAATTTGAGTACTTATGGTACCAACTCACTAAAGACATATTGAGTTGCTCCTCCGGATATAACTTATGGTCATGGGACTTCTTGTCCTCACCACCAGGTTGTCCTTATCTTGGTGCGTCTTGACTCCCATTTATCATGTTTTGATGGCTATCCATTGAGCTTTTTGTTTCAACATCGCAAAGTGGCAGCTCGGGTATTGACTTCATGACACCAAAGCGGGTCATTGGGGATCTTGCAGCACCAATTTCCCATGGGTGCTAATCGACATGGGATTGAATGCTCAATAAAGCTAGTAATAACACTGTATTTTGGGCTTATTTGATTGACATTCTGGATCATATGGGGTTTACATATCTCTATAAAACTCTAGAACATTTAGACTTGTAGGGCATTAGGACATGGGAATATTATATGGGCCATAGGGATAATTAATTATAGCTAAATTATACAAGCGAAATAAAAAAATTATCTGAAGTTTGTGTTTTCTTTGGATAACCTTTTATTTTGGCTTTCCAATGGTACCTTATTCACTTTATTTGGTTAAGTATTGAATCAATACTATTGATTGATAAGGAGTTTTTATTGAGTTTTGCCAATTCTGGGCAAAAACTCCTTGGTGCTGGGTGTTTGTGTATGCTTCAAGGTTGAGTCATGCTGATTCTAGGTGCTTGGTTGGCTTTGAATCACCCCAAATGTCCACGTCGGACATGGGATATAAATAGGAATGATTCTTATCAAATTGACTTATTTTCACTAGTTCTTCTTGCTGTGCCCAATCCTGCTGCGCGACCACATGTTGGTACGTACCACTTCGCCACATACGCAGGCCGTACAACCTCCCCGAGCTTGCCCATTGTGATTTGGTCTTGAGCAAACACAACTGCATACCGCAAGCGCCCCCACAATCTTCCTTGACTGCAAGGGAGAGTGGGAAGTGCCAGCTCAAAGAGAACTGATGAGACTGAGTGGCGTTGGTCGAAACCGGTCTTGTGTGCTAGAGCCGGTGGCTTGCCGTGGTGCACGGTGAGCCACAAGGATATGCGAGCATTGCCCAGATGGAGAGCGAGCAATTGGGGGAGCCATCCCAAGAGGGGCGCTCCCACAACGCGATTGTGTGACAATGTTGACAGAATAAAGTACTGAACCAAAGGAAGGAAGGCAGCCGGCGCGCAAATTACCCAATCCTGACACGGGAGGGTAGCGACAACACATATTGCATACAGGGTCTTTGTCATTTGCGCCGCCTTGGAAGGGCTACCTTCCCACGATGTCTACTTTGTCCCATTGGCATATCATTGCCCAACCACCCGTGGACACAAGGCCCACCTCCGTGGAGAGAGGGAGTGCTCGCCCCGGTCCAGCGCGCCTCAAGAGTGGCGCAGAGGGGAGTTAGTGTGTGGTTAGCACACCCCCAATTGGGCGACATGGAGGGCTTAACTGGAGGCCCTCAGCTGCGCACCATAGCGGCCAATCCGCTGCCCCAACATGGGAGCTCTTGGAACTTTGGAATTATGGGCTTTGAGGATATTCAGACATTAAATATATTTCTACTTACTTTACATTCCGACACTATATTTTGATGGCTTTATTGCTCCCAGACAACCACCACCTCTATAAATAAATCCCTATCTATATAGTCATGTTTTTATTTGCTTTTGACCTACATCGCCAAAAGGCGGCACATGTGTAGATATCATATTATATTTATGCTATGAGAGCAGAATGGGTTTAGTAAATATTATATAATTAAGAAATTCTTCATCATTATTATTATTATTATTACCATCATCATCATCGTCATCATCATCATCATTTTTCTCCTGGGTGCGTTCGGCCCCCTGCTTTAAGCAATACCTCTGCACATGCATTCCTCTGAACAATTGCTCGTTTGGGGTAACTATCTCAAATAAGAATTAGTGGACATATGCTGCCGACTAGAACACCCAATGACGGGCTTGAAAATCTTGCTAATCAAAGCTCTTGGGGACTAGGAACTCAACTATTGTGACAATCTCATCCCCAACTTGTTGCTTTCGCTTCAAACATCATGGGCTGACTCTACACCTATTGCTCTACCCTCCTCGAGCCCTGCTACCAAACAACAACCAATCTTTGCTCCACCTAATGTGGCTGAGGCTAGCTCTCCCAAGATGGACGTTCTCTTTGATGGCCCGCCATCCATGGAAGCAAACCCACTTTTAGCACAACACCACCGCCCCCCACCACCCAATACAGTTGTTTTGGCAGATGCTTTAAATGTATTTGATTACCCTAACTAGGTCCAAGTTGGGAAAACTGGCCCCATGGTGGTTACAAATAAAATAGGATAATGAAATGAATAATTATGGATAATCTTGTATAACGGGCAAATGTAGTAACTGCCCGGGGATTCCGACTCCCCGTTTCATCTGACCCGTGAGTCTGCAAGAGCAACAAAGCTCCCTGCATCATTGGTTTTGGAGCAC